TCCTTGAAAGAGTGACCGCTGGGCTGGAGATGAGTGTAGACCGCAGAATCCTGGCCTGATGATGTTGATCTTCTGTGCTGGGCCATCCTTTTGGCCAGTGGCTGTTTAGTTTCCCCGATGTAAGACTGATCACAGCCCTCCTGACACTGAACAGCATACACAACATTACTCTGTTTGTGCCGGGGGACTGGATCTTTGGGATGAACCAGTTTTTGCCGTAATGTATTTTGGGGTTTAAAAGCCACTGGGACGTTATGTTTAGAAAATAAACGTCTCAGTTTCTCTGATACCCCCTCAACATACGGAATGACCACTGGTCTGGGTCTGGGTTCCTCCTTTTCACCTGATGGCTGACTGGAGTCCTGTTTGGGTTTCTTCTCTGCTTTCAGGAAGGCCCAGTTAGGATATCCACATTGCTCTAGAGCCTGTTTTGTGTAGATCAACATCTGGGTGCCAGTAGTTTTATTAGTATAAATTTATTAAATCTTGGGACGAACAAAGGCATCACAAAAATATTTTTTACAAATGAAAATAGCTGTGAGAGTGCGGGTAAACAAAGCTTTTTGAGGGAATTGTGGTGAACATTGCTTGACCGTGGCACATTGCAGCAACACAGTGTGCCGTGGGTTAAATGCCTCACGTTCATGCTTGGTATGCTGGTCTGAACTCAGACACAGAAAGAAAAAGATCAAGCTTTGATGTTTTCTGCTCCCAGCAACTTTGACACTCATGCATAGTGAAATGAAATGAAATTGCATCAAATCCGAGAATGATTTGAATAAAATGTGAGAAATTTAGTTTAACGGAAAGTTCCTGGAAATGAACTGTCAGCTGAACAGATAACAGCAATGTTTGGACAAATTGGATGTAGATGTGAATTAAGGGCAATGAGTCATTTTAACAAAGGATAAAATGCATTGGCAAATTTAATTCAAACCTATTTAAACATCAAATATGAAGCCATAACTGTGAGTTTTATGATGGGTTTAGAAAGAAAAGCCTTTTAGTATTCAACAAAGGTCTGCAGCTGGATGAAAAATCAGTAAAATATTAAAGTCACTGTATTCCATTTCAACGTGTACTGAAATACAGGCATCTAACAGGCTTACTAATGACTTTTTAGCAGAAGTAATATTGCTGGCGAGGTTCAAAAGTTGTATATAAAGTTAGAAAAATGTAAATGGACGGAATAACCAGAAATAGAAATATACAGACATTTTTTTTTATATGTTTAATTTTTTAATGAGGACTGGAAAAGTTACTCATATCCGTGCACTCTGGTTTTCTGTCTAAGATTTAGAAAAAGTTATTATAATTCCACAAAACCCTGTGGAGAGGCCCAGTACTGACAAGAAAATGTCTAAAAAATGTCCATGCCAGAAGCAGATCAATTCGCTGCAACGACAAATCACAGCACCTGACCAGCTCGCCACTTACTGAGGACCGCCTAGAAAGGCAGCACCCTATTATTATCCACCTGAAAAGGGTTCTGCTCTTTTATCAACTTTAATAACTTGGTGTAATTTTTGATCAGGACATGTCTTTTATCCCCCATATTAAAAACGTTACTAGAACTGCCTTCTTCCACCTGCGTAATAGCGCTAAAATTAGAAACATCTTATCTAAAAATGATGCAGAAAAACTGGTCCATGCATTTGTCACATCTAGACTGGACTATTGCAATGGTTTATTATCTGGATGTCCAAATACTTCTTTAAAACGTCTTCAGTTGATCCAAAATGCTGCTGACAGAGTCTTAACTGGAGTTAGTAGAAGAGATCATATTTCTCCAGTTTTAGCTTCTCTCCAGTGGCTCCCTGTCAAATCCAGAATAGAATTCAAAATCTTACTTCTAACCTACAAAGCTCTCAACAACCTGGCTCCATCTTATATTACAGATCTTATTGTTCCATATTTTCCTAACAGAACACTTAACTCTCAGACTGCAGGTTTACTTGTGGTTCCTAGAATTTACAAAAACAGAATGGGAGGCAGATCTTTTAGTTATCAGGCTCCTCTCTTGTGGAACCAACTTCCAATCTCTGTCCATGAGGCTGACATTATCCAGTTTTAAAACTAGGCTTAAGACTTTCCTTTTTGCTAAATCCTATAGTTAGGGTCGGCTTGGGTTTCCTGAGCTGTCCCTTAGTTATGCTGCTATTGGCTTAGACTGCTGGAGGACAAACTGACCACAATTTTCACTGTACTACTGTCTTTACTTACTCTGTACTTACTCAACCTGTTTTGTATTTGTAATTATTTGTTCTATACTTAACGTGTTTTTTTTTTATCTTTCAGGTGCACCTGCACCTATACCTGGACCTATCATTCTGTGTTTGTCTGTCTCTCATTCATGTCCTCTCAACCAGCTGGTCAAAGCAGATGGCTGTTTGTCCTGAGCCTGGTTCTGCTGGAAGTTTCTTCCTTTTAAAAGGGAGTTTTTCCTTTCCACTGTTGCCACTGTGCTTGCTCAGGATGGAAGACTGCAACGAAGCCAAGATTCAACTTGTCTGCTGGATTCCTTAGATAGAGAACTTTACTAATTGGCTTTTATGTATGTGAATGTTTCTGTAAAGTGCCCTGAGACAACTTTGTTGTGATTTGGCGCTATATAAATAAACTGAATTGAATTGAATATGGCCCAAACTGCAATGTGTACCCCCGCAAATTTTATATCAAAACGATCTGATTGGTATTGTGATATGTGTTATTATGTTTACTGGCATTTCAAGTTACTATGGCGATGTAATTTGCAAAGATGCCATTTCTCTTATTGAAAAACACTGACAGAGCTCAACAACTTCTGCCACAGTGAGGTCACTGACCTAGAGTGAAGAGGTCTCTGAACAAAACTCAGTAAGTCATCGAACAAACTCTTCCTACCACATCTTTTTAAGACACACATACATGTTACATATGAAAACGTAAGCATTTTTGTTATCAACATTTTAAAATGGCCACCATGTTGCAGTCTCTGTCAAAGTTTTCTAGGATCTTTCTAGTTTTTCTTCTTCTTCTGACACCATTTTGTCACAAATCACTCCTGAAACTTTTCTCCATCCACTCCATCCTGCCGGGATAATCTCTTTCACCTCTTCACCAAATTCCCCAATTTCCTGGACAATGGACACTAAGGGGGCATTCACACTAGCCCAGTTTAGTCCGCTTTAATCGAACTCTAGCTCGTTTTCCTAGAAAGTCCGGTTCGTTTAGGGAGGTGTGAACGCACCATCAAAATCTGTCACGGAACAAAAAGGCGAACTCTGGCCCGGGCTAAAACCTAGGTCTCGGTCCGGTAGAAGCGAACTCCAGCACGGTTCGAGTACAGTGTGAATGTAAACAGACCGGTCCCACTCCGCAGGGTAAACAAACACGCATTCCTCTTACCTTATATGGAGCCGTCAGCTGCCTTATGTGGAAAAACAATATTCTCCATGGTCTTCTGTCTCATCTTCTGCTCATGCTAAGTCCATTTTTGAAAAATGACAAAATATAACTCCTAAAACTGCTAAAACTTGATGCCACTTCCTTTTTATTTTTATTTACAGAAGAAGAGGAACACGTGTTTTAAGAGGTTTTTGTGTCGTTTCTTTCAGTAGTTCTTGGTGCAGCGCCCCCACAGGTGAGCGGGGGAATAGGTTGGTTCAACAGGTTGACTCGACTACACAGTGCAGTGTGAATGCAAACGCACCAGCTCAAATGTAAACAAAAGGTCATGAATATTGGTCCCGAACCGAGTCTACCGGACTATCTGGTGTGAAAACGACCTAAGTACTTGAAGTCCTGCACCTTTGTGACCTCTGCTCCTTGTAACCTCTCTCCTCCACCAGCCTCCTTCTCAATCACACATGTACTCTGTCTTACTACAGCTGACTTTAATTCCTCTTCTTTCAAGTGCATACATCCACCTCTCCAAGTTCCCTTCCACCTGTTTCCTGTTCTCACCACAGATCACAGTCATCTGCAAACATCATAGTCCACGGGGCTTCCTGCTTGACTTCATCTGTTAGTCGGTCCATCACCAGAGCAAACAAGAAGGGGCTCAGAGCTGATCCTTGATGCACACCCACATCCACCTTGAAGCTCTGTGTCACTTCTGAAGCACATTGCACCACTGTCCTGCTGTCCTCATACATGTCCTGTGCCAGTCTAACATGTCCTGCTGTCCTCGTACATGTCCTGTACCAGTCTAACATATCCTGCTGTCCTCATGCATGTCCTGTACCAGTCTAACATGGCCTGCTGTCCTCATGCATGCCCTGTACCAGTCTAACATGTCCTGCTGTCTTCATGCATGTCCTGTACCAGTCTAACATGTCCTGCTGTCCTCATGCATGTCCTGTACCAGTCTAACATGTCCTGCTGTTCTCATGCATGTTCTGTACCAGTCTGACATGTCCTACTGTCCTTGTACATGTCCTGTACCAGTCTAACATGTCCTTCTCTCTTAGCACGGGCAGGTTGAAAAAGACGTTCAGTGCTCCTGTTAGTTTCTGACAGAAAGTAAAAAGCACGCAAAACATAATGGATGTATGGACATACATATTCAGGGACTCCAGTCACTAGTATAGGATCAGTGTGCTCCTCTGTCAGCTTGTTTTCACCAACAAAGTATTATGAACAGATATAAGAAATACTGTTTACATTTGGCCAGTCAAAACCAACTTGGCCCAAAAGTCGAATCCAACAATTACCGTACATTTCTCTCCCTGAATAATCAGCTTTGGAAGTGGCAAGAACCAAATACTTTGTATATGAGGCTTGCCAGCAAGTCGGCCATCACTGCTGCAAGTCCTGTAGCAACAATGCTTCTTGGATAACAATTTTCTGTTGTTTTTATATTGGCACAACCACAACTACAGCACTGTACTGCATTGTATCTAAGGAGCACCTTAGGAATAGTGATTAGAGCAGCCATCCAACCAAATGGGATAAATGACTGTACCTGTCTGAAGCGCTTCAAGTGGAGGATGAGTATGTCAGGCAGCGTCCACAGGCTCATCTTCACCATGCCCTGCTGAAGCTGCTTACAGTGGGGGCACTTCCAGGCATCATCTGGTGCAAGCTGGAAGCAGCAGAATCAGCAATCAATCAAATGGTTACAAAAACTAAACTTTACAGACCAAGATAAAACAAAATGTTTTTAAATAACCGTGAATGAAAGATGAATGTGTTTTCAGAGGAACACTTCAATACATCTCTGTTCTTGTTCCCCTTGCGACTGACTAATTTTTCAACTCTTTCTTGTGTTGACAAAAAGCATCAAGGAATGATGAAAATTCTTGTTTTAGAGCATACACAATTTACCACTTTAAATACTTGTTTATTATTCTAAACTTTAGACCCAATAGGAAAAATGCCTTCAACCTGAGGTCGGCTTTTTTCTCTCTGCTTTATCAGCAATCAATAATGTCCTGCCTGCAGCACCTGTCTCAAGGTGAGGGGCTTCAAACTCAACATGGACATTTACTGTCATTACAGCAGGCTGGGACTCATTAGCCTTATTTCAAAACACTAGGCCTTCCCCCTTGAGGCGCAGCCCAAAATGTTAAATTTTGTCATCTGAAGAGATCAAGCAATTAGGTTGCCTCGTCTCCCTGAGATTTGTCTTTTAACCAAATTAACATAGGTTGTAAACTCAATCATCCAGGTAGATAACAACAAAAAAGGTTAAATCATGTCATCTGGGCCAGTTTCTTTGAGGGAGAAATGTTTCGTCAACCTTTTTCCTGAACCATTTTGGCCTTTGAGTCCTCAGGCTGTTTCTGTGAGTAGCAAGTCGGCCATCTGGCCTAAAACATTTGATTGCTGTACATGATGATCAATTGTTTTGGGCGAATGGGTCCTTTTGCATGTATTAAAAGCCTACTTTTGAGATTCCAACAGGAGGTTGGCTTGAAACACGGCAATGAAGGCTACTTATGGGACAGATCTGGTTGGCAGGCCGTAGACTGATGAAGTCTTCCGGATGGAAGACAAAACGTTTCTCCCTCAAAGAAACGGGTCCAGATGACATGATTTAACCTTTTTTGTTCAAATCACAATAAGAAAAAAAAGAAAATGTATGTGCAACTCTGTAATCGTGTGTCCTTGCAGTTCACTGCAGGCTTCAGGGTTAACAGAATTGCTTCATTCAACTCAAGAAGAGCAAATATGAGTGCTTGTTTCACAATTTTTCCAAGAAGACAGATGATTGTTGAACATGGTTGTGTGCTCTTTTATTCCTCGAGTGTCGATGAGCATGAAAAAGAAAACTGAGATGCATCATCTGAAATTCCAGTCAATCTGATTATATTTCTCATCATTCTCTCACTGTTGACACTTGAAGAAACATAATGACAATAGCTAGAAATCGTAAAAAAGAGACTAGTTTGTACAGAAGTGCTCTTTACAAAAATTAGCCATCTCAAGTAACAAGAACTGATAATGTTTTATTTAACCTTGTTCGTCCACAACTAAAAACTCATTCTGCTGTGAAACACATTCAATGTGGTGGAGTGGTGGCGCAGAGGTTAGAGAAGACGGGCCTATGATCAGAAAGTCACAGGTTAAACTCCCCAGACTGACAACATCAAAATGTGGGTGAAAAAGGTGAAGCATCCACACCTGCCTCCACCCTCATTTGTCCCACTCTGGGCCCTTGAGCAAGACCCTTAACCCCCACTATCTGCTCCCAAAAACAGGTCTCTTGAAAATGAGTTCTCGTGACTCAATGAGACTACTTGTGTAAATAAAGGGTAAATAAAAAATAAATATATAAATAAATACATTTTCACACAAAACACATGAAACCAAAGGTGTCAATTCATCAGATTAACAGGACCAAATAAAACCCAAACAAAAATAAGCCATCATGTACACAAAATATTTAGGTGTTCAAAAAGGAGATTTTATATAAAAATGAGATAATGCAAAAAGAATAGCTTAGCAAATGGAAAGAGATTATTGAACTTACAAAAAGTACAAAAGACTGCATTTTATAACACTCCAGGTAGGCCTGATGTAGTGGACTAGGCCTACGTCAAAACTAAGTCTAAGGTCAAAACTCTTGACCTTAAGAACCTTGTGGGACAGAAGCTGTCATTTCATGTATTTGAATCCATAAATACAGGTTCACCCATCCTGAGACTTTCTTTCTTGAAGATTCAAGTGAAAAGAACACTCTCTTTTTTATTATCATTACTACCACAAATGTTGATAATCAAAGTGTCTTAGTTCAAACCATTTTAGATGTTGCAGTGAACTAATCAATTTTATTAACTGAGTAATGATTTTTATTCTCATGCAAAGTTAGAACTCATGTTAAAAGCTGTTACAGAGTTTATGCATTTTCTGATTTCTGCCTTTGAATGAGCAAGTGTGTGCGTTCCCAAGGTTGGAGTCAAACGAAAAACAAGTTGTTATGTTAAAACTGTCATGTTTTAGAATCCTCTCAGACGTAAATATAGATGTTTTGCACCTGTTTCTGAAACACGCCAAAACAAAACTCTCTCTGTCTGTGAGAACATTTCTGATCTGTCTCATAACAATTCTCGCTGTCTCTAACCTCTTACGTCACAAAACACACCCCGTCTGGTCGTTTCTGACCAATGAACAACTCCCAAAAGTGAACCGGGAAAGAGTCTTTAAAATGTCAGTACTTCCTGATCTACTCAGAGTTCTAAGAGTTCTGGAGTTCAGTAGTTGCTAGAGTTCTGTGGGAGTTCTGTAAACTACACAAGTTCTGCTGAGTTCTGATGGAGTGCTGTTGGAGTTCCTGACATGACAACAAAGCTCTTCTGAGTTCCATGGGATTATAACATTTTCCACTGAGGTGAATATGTGTCGAACAGAGCCTCGCCATTACTTCGGACGAGTAACAGCATCCTACTGAGACGCTGAAAGGGTGCGTTAAACGGAATCTCACCTGAGACATCTCCAGGTAAAGGAGCCGATTTCATCACCTAAGTGTACTGTAAGGAAAAGCTGAAGAAAGCCGGAGAGTGTCGATTCTGGTGAACACTTAATTTCCCTCACACACCATCTTACTCCCTCTAAACTTTTTTCCATCTTTAAACTTTTCTATCAAGTAGAAATTCTTCCAGATATTTTAGAAATGTCGGTGTAAAATGCTCACCCACATTCATGTGGGTAAAAGATCATAATTGTACAGTTTATAAATGTCTGTGGTGCAGCAACGGAAAAATCATGGCCGTATGATTTTTCCTGATTGATTGCTTATGTTGTTATTTTCATAATTTGCCAAATTAATGTAAATGTTTGATGTTAAAGTTTGATTCTGTAAATAAATGACCGCATTCATTTTGATGGGTCAACATAAATGACGTCTCACGTTTGCATTTCCTTAAATTCAATGCACGTTTTATTCAGTCCAGAAAAATGAGGAATCCGTGTTAAATGATGAATATATCCCAGCATCTGTTCATCTACACTGTCACAACAAATTTTGCTGGGCGATTAATGGTCTCATTAATTATTGCAATAAACAATAATATTGTTTGAAATTTAACAATAATTAATAATCGTTAAATTTTATAAGAAATGTTGATTTGTTTTGAGTATTGTAACTTTTTTGACCACTGGATTGCAGTATAAGACTGTTTGAACCAGAGGATGGATGCCAAGGGAGAGAGCAACAAGAAGGAGGTTTTTTCCGAGGTCAGCCTGTTAGCTTAGCTTGTAACTTAGCTTCTCAGCTTAGCTGCTTTTAATGATCCAAAAACACGATTTTGGATGGTTAAAACAGATTTTAAAGAGAAAATAGAAAGGGAGGGGTCAGTGAAGAGCACCGGAGTTGAGCCGTGTCTTCAGTAGAAAGAGAGAGACTCGAAGAAATGATAAAGCAGATAAATGAAAATGAGGTCGATAATTTTCATTTATCATGCAATTAATTGATTTATTGTTTACTGTGACAGGCCTAACTCCAGGTAGTCACAAAAGCAGCCACCCTTGCAGGATTCACTCTGTTTTGTATCTAAACCACTTAGGCATTGCTTCAGTTTGTGTTAAGGGTCCTTATCCTGCTGGAAGGTGAACCTCTGTCCATCTCCTCTCCCTAGAAGACTCAAATAGGTTTCTTTCAAGAATTTCTCTATAATTTCTTCCATTCACCATTTCTTCCTTTCTTTAAAATACATTTTTAAAATATCAAGTCAAATCGATTTGCTTTGCAGGAAAAGCTTCTTTTTTTTTTTTTTTTTTTTTGGGTTCGGGCCTCTAATTACAGTTAATTAGTTGGGTCAGGCTTGGACAAAATGCCTATGGGCTCGGGCCGGGTCAGATTTTTTTAGGCCCGAATGTAACTCTAACCTGAACTCCACAAGGCTATTTTAGTAAACTTTATGGTTGTTAAATAAATGTAAACAAAACAAAAACAGTGTTTCGTCTGCTAAACTGGTCACAAATTATTTTCAAATAAACCGTGGTCCGTGCTCCGCTACCATAGGTAACCAATGCTTACTGCTACTTCCTGTGTCTGACAGGAAGTTGTACCCTAGTGCTGTAAAATTGTGAAAAGGCACATGAGTGTGAACCAATCTCTTGCCTTGTCTCACTAATGCTTCAAGAATTTCTTCAAAAGACTTTATAGTTTTTAAACAGCAGCTGTTTGTTTGAACCAAGATCCTCCCACTTTTTTCAGGAATCTGTATCACTGTGTCCCCCCCCCCCACACACACACACACAAACAAGGACACACACACACACACACACACACACACACACACACACACACACACACCTCTGAATTGACTTCAGAAACACACATTTAGAAATACATGTAAACTTATATTGTCTGTCTGTTAGCAACATATCTCATGAACAGTTTGTTGGATTATTTTAAAACACACAATGTAATCACCGGATGTATCTCTAGAACTGATTAACATTTGGAGCCATTTTGATTCAATATGGCTTCCACAGCTGCCCCAGAAAACAAAAGTTGACTATAACTCAGTCATTCTTTGAGATATTGAGCTGAAATTTGGTATGTTTGTAGTGGAGAGCGAGTTGTTATACATTCCAAATGCAAATCACATATCCACGATGGCCACCTAAGCTAAAAAAAGCAAAAATATAATAACTCGATCAACTGTTGATATTGAGCTGAAATTTGGTGTGGTGGTAGCTGGCAGTGATGCACAACACATTCTGAATTCAAATCTAAAAATTCAAGATGGTCGCCAAAGTTAATTTCAAATGGCTTTAAGTCAGTCATTTTTTAGAGCTATTCACCTAAAATTTGGTGTACTGGTAGCTAAGAACAATCCCTAATGACTCTGGTTGCAAACCAAATTTCAAGAAGGCCACCTGAGTTTAAAGGCAAAATACTATCAGCCATTTTTAGAGATTATGAGCTGAAATTTGGTGTGATGAAAGCTGAAAGCAATACCCATTAAATAATGAATTCAAATAAAAACGCCAAGATGGCAACCAAAGCTACATTTAAATGGCTTTAACTCAGCTATTTTTACACATAGAACTGAAATTTGGTGAAGTTATAGCTGAGAACCTTTTCCATAACATTTTTACTATTATTTCGGCTTCTCCCTACTTTAGGGGTCGCTACAGCGAACTAAGTCACACGAAGACTTGGCAATTGTTTTTATGCCGGATGCCCTTCTTGACCAGGGCTTAATTTGTAAACCAATTGATGCTGGAACACAAAAAGCAGGTGGTCCGGTGGGGGGGAGGGGTGGGGTCCATGGGTCCTCCCCCAGAAAATATGGAATAAAAGAGATGCCATTTCCTGCATTTCGGTGTATTTTAACAGGTTGTTTAACATCTGTAAACATTTGATTAAAAACAGGTCTCTCTTAAAAAATGAGTCCTCGAGGCTCAATGAGACTAACAACCTGTATAAATAAAGGTTGAATTGAAATTACTCTTTTAGATAGCAGTGAATAGAGCAGCTCCGATTCTGTCAAGCGTCCCAATACCGCCAACACCCCCCCCCAACACACACACACACACACACACACACACAAACTTCAATGTCCTACCTGAACTCTTCTCAGCTGAATTCAGTCCTGCGTGTTGTTCTGCTCCAATCTCTATTACCTCTGCTTCAATTGTGTCCAGCTAAGGACAATCCATCCATTTATTTTAGATAATAAATTGTCTTTTCGATATTTTGGTTGCTGTTATTTTGACTAATTTTGAAACTTGATGTGAATAATACACATGAAACATTTCAATCTATTTTTTTTTTTTTTTAACTGTAAGCTTTTTTATTTATTATCTTTGAAATGTATGCAGGAGTACTGACACATTGGCAGTTGTGCACACTCTGCAGACCTGTTTGGAGACGTTCCTGTGTGTAAAACGTGCACTGTCTACAGGGCGCACAGCTGATCAAAGTGAAGCTGATACTCCACCACGTCAAAAATTCCAGTAAATGCAGAGTGGTTAGTGCTAAGTTTGTGGTTTGTGCCGTTAAAATGTTAATTTGTGCTGCTTTGGTATCTGAGACACAGCTGAAGGTGGATGAAGATGCTTCATCCCCGCGGGACATGTGGTCAGTGTCTCTGCTGGCAGCAGTGTGTGCGTGAGCTAGTGCGCCAGCTGCAGCAGTAACATCCACACCACAGACATGGACAATGTCTCCTGTCGTTGTATGTTTAATAAATAATAAAAATAAAAATGCGCGATGACTTTGGGCTTTTTTGGGCGGAGATATGAGGTGATGGATCTGATCGAACAGTTGCCGGAATGCACATGTTGAAAATGAGGGAATTCCCGGATCTTGTTCCAACAGGATCTGGCTCAAATTAACCACCTTTCCTGATGCAACCACAGACCACCGAGCTACCACAGCAGTGTGGAGCAGAGTGCTGCTATCTAGGGTGCCCGGGGGAACAGATGGTGGGGGTTAAGGGGCTTGCTCAATGTCCCAGAATGGGGCAAATGAGGGTGGAGGGAGGTGTGGGTGCTTCAGCTTTCCCACCCACATTTTTGATGTTGTCAGTCCAGGGCGTTGAACCAGCGATCTTCCGATCACAGGCGCATCTTCTCTAACCTCTGCGCCACCACTCCCTGACCTTCTCCATCACATACTGAATCCAAATCAAAAATCCAAGATGGCTACCATCACTTTAAAGAAAAAATGACAATAACTCATTGATTTTATTTTATTTTATTTTTCTGCCATATTGAGCTAAAATGTGGTGTATTGGTAGCTGAGAGCGTACCCCAACACACAGAACTGTCAAATAAAAATTTTTAAATGTCCACCACTTGGCAGTCCCCATCAAAGTTTCTCCAGGAACTTTCTAGTTAGTCTTGTTGTCTTCAGTCTTACCTGCTCTTCTTTGGTGTACAGCTGGAAGCACTCACTCAAGGTGCAGCTATGCTGCTGAAGGTGTTGTTGTTGTTGGTTCTTCACACTCTCTGTATCCTTTACCACCTCCTCCTGGATGCTGCCAAACAAACTGAACCAACAACAAGTTTATTGTTCCCCACTGAGTGGCCAATAAAGTTTATAGAGTGTTGGGATCAGTGGGAGTGCATGTTTGTGTCTTCTTATAAAGAGATTCCGGCAATTTAGCAAAACTTTCACATATGCACAGCATCAAAAAGAGAAGCTTCATTCTATGATAGCATGCGTGCCCTCGTGCTGTTCTGTTTGTGTAAACTTAAATGCTCACCACTCTTTGGAGCTGTGTTCCCATTCGATAACAAGCTTCACGTGTGGAGGTCCACCTGGGCCACTGCAATTCAAAGCTCTGCAATAAAGCAAAAATTCATTCTTATTCTTTCAGACTACCGTATTTTCTGGCGTATAAGTCGCTCCGGAGTATAAGTCGCATCAGTCCCAAAAAAAGCATAATGAAGAGGGAAAAATCATATATAAGTCGGTTCTGTGTATAAATCACGTTTATTATGCTTCATCGCTGACCCCAGGGAAACATGGGCCGGTGTCGTACCACAAATCGATTGGCGGCTGCAGGAGCGCGCACAGGACTCGCTGTCGCAGTTCTTCGAAATTTACCAAGATTAACACTTAAAAACAATGATTTGTTTTCAACATTATAGCAAAGGTGTGTGTCAGTTTAACTTTTCCTTAATAAATGCACTTTAATGGTCAATGTTTGGCGGGAGTAGCGGTACAGGTGTAGTATGAACATATCCTGAGATATATTCATACATTAAACGGGTTCTTCATTTTTCTGGACTGTATATAACGTGCATTGAATTTAATAAAATGTAACGTGAGACGTTATTTATCTTTGACCCATCAAAATGAATGTGGCCATTTATTTACAGAATCAAAGTTTAACATCAAACATTTACATTAGTTTGGCAAAATATGAAAATAACAACATAATTAATCAGCTTTACAGGT